AGGTGACCTTAGATGATGATGGTGTTTTGAGGTTGCAGGGGCGAGTTTGTATGCCCAATGTCGATGGGATTCGAGAGTTGATCTTAGCGGAGGCCCATAGTTCTCGGTATTCTATTCACCCGGGCGCCGCGAAGATGTATCAGGACTTGCGGCAGCTTTATTGGTGGCGTAGGATGAAGAAAGATATTGTTGCATATGTGGCTCGATGTTTGAACTGTCAGCAGGTTAAGTATGAGCATCAGAGGCCTGATGGTTTGCTTCAGAGGGAGCTTCCCGAGTGGAAGTGGGAGAGGATTACCATGGATTTCGTTACTGGACTTCCGATGACCCGGAAGAAGTTTGATGCTATTTGGGTCATTATTGATAGGCTGACCAAGTCAGCGCATTTTATTCCTGTTGCAGCCACTTATTCATCGGAGAGGTTAGCTGAGATCTACATCCGAGAGATTGTTCGCCTTCATGGGGTGCCGGTATCTATTATTTCGGATCGGGGTACGCAGTTTACCTCGCGCTTCTGGAGAGCAGTTCAGCAGGAGTTGGGTACCCAGGTTCAGTTGAGCACAGCGTTCCATCCTCAGACGGACGGCCAGTCCGAGAGGACTATTCAGATATTGGAGGATATGCTCCGAGCTTGTGTCATTGATTTTGGAGGCTCGTGGGACCAGTTTTAGCCTTTAGCAGAGTTCGCCTACAACAACAGCTACCAGTCTAGCATTCAGATGGCTCCATATGAGGCGTTGTATGGTAGGCGATGTCGGTCTCCAGTCGGATGGTTTGAGCTGGGGGAGGCTCGGTTATTGGGTACAGATTTAGTTCAGGAGGCCTTGGACAAGGTCAAGATCATTCAGGACAGGCTTCGTTCGGCTCAGTCGCGGCAAAAGAGTTATGCGGATCGTAAGGTTCGAGATGTAGCTTTCATGGTTGGTGAGCGGGTCTTGCTCCGAGTGTCGCCTATGAAGGGCGTGATGAGATTTGGGAAGAAGGGCAAGCTTAGCCCTAGGTTCATTGGCCCATTTGAGATTCTCGATCGTGTGGGAGAGGTGGCTTACAGACTTGCCTTGCCGCCCAGCTTGTCAGTCGTGCATCCAGTGTTTCATGTGTCCATGCTTCGGAGGTATCACGGCGATCCAGCCCACGTGTTAGATTTCAGCACTGTCCAGTTGGACAAGGATCTGTCTTACGAGGAGGAGCCGGTAGCCATTCTAGACCGGCAGGTTCGACAGTTGAGGTCGAAGAGTTTTCCTTCAGTGCGTGTCCAGTGGAGAGGTCAGCCTCCAGAGGCATCGACCTGGGAGTCCGAGTCTGATATGCGGAGCCGTTATCCTCATCTATTTCCGACTCAGGTACTTCTTTCTTTTGTCCGTCCGAGGACGAACGGTTGTTTTAGAGGTGGAGAATGTGACGACCCAAAGGGTCATCACCGGAATTCTCTCTTTTTTGTGCTTCCGAGGCCTTGAAAGCCTCATTTCTGCTTGCCTCGATTTGCGTGCGCAGTCCAGGCGCGTAGCCGGAAAGCTTATATGTTAAATTCTGTGAAAAATTTCAAAATGTGGCTTTAAAATGATTAAAGTTGACTTTGGTCAACATTTTTGGTAAACGTACCCGGACCCGTGATTTGACGGTCCCGGAGGGTCCGTAGAAAAAATATGAGACTCGGGCATATGCCCGGAGTCGAATTTCGAGGTCGAGAGCCCGAGAAAATAAATTTTTCTGTGAAATTGTTTTTCTGAAATTATTAAGGAAAATGGAAATGAAAATTGATTAAAAGACTAAGGTATCGGGCTCGTATTTTGGTTCCGACGCCCGGTACAAGTCTTAAATATGTGTTAAGCGCTTTCTGTAAAGTTTGGTCGAAATCGGGTGTCATTTGACGTGTTTCGGACCTAAATATCTAAAGTTAGAAGTTTAAGAAGTTTGAAATGAAAATGATGATTTTGAGGTTGCATTCATTGATTTTGATGTTATTTTGGCGATTTGATCGCTCGACTAAGTTCGTAGGATGTTATTGAGTTAGTGTGTGTGTTTGGTTGGGAGCCCCGAGGGCTCGGGAGTGATTCGGAGGTGGTTGGGGTAGTTTTACACCTAGAAAACATAGCAGATTTTCTGCAATTTTTGCACAGCAAATCCCTTCATCGCGTTCGCGTTCCAGTCACGCGTTCGCGAAGCTTCAGCGGTCCCTCTTCATCGCGTTCGCGGACATACCCCGCGTCCGCATAGCCCAGGCTTCCCCTTCATCGCGTTCGTGAGTCCTCTCTCGCGTTCGCGTACTAGCCAGTCCTAGACCCCAGCCCCTTCTTCTACGCGTTCGCGATTAGCACCTCGCGTTCGCGATGCCTTAAACTATCCACCCTTCGCGAACGCGTCCTCATTCACGCGAACGCGAAGGGCATTTTTGCCCAGCGAATTTTTAAGTTCAAAACAAAATCAGTAGCTCGGGATTTAGCCATTTCTTCACACGAGCTCCTCTCTCTAACACTCCATAGGTGATTTTGAAGAGCTTCTTTCTCCATAGCCTCTTAGGTAAGTGTTCTTAACTTCTTTCCCTCTTAATTTCTTCCACTAATCACTAATTTCCTAGCCCTAAATCATGAATTCAAAGTAGAAAATGGGGGTTTTGGGTAGAGTTAGGGCTTTGGGGATTTTGGGTGATTCAACCTCAATTTGGGGTCGAATCTTGAAATAAATTATATATTTGAACTCGCGGGGTTATGGGTGACGGGTTTTGGTCCAAGCCTCGAGTTTGGACCATGTGGGCCCGGGGTCGAATTTTGGTGTTTTTGGAAGAATGATAGGAATTTCATTTCTAGGCTATGGGATTATGTTTTTTGAGCCCTTATTGATATTATTGAACTAATTATGCGTAGATATCATTGTTTCGGAGTTGGATTGTAGAGGAAAGGCGGTATTAGAGAGTTGATTGCTATTCTTGGACCGAGGTAAGTATTTGTTCTAACTTTGGTTAGAGGGAATAGGATTAGGATATTATTTGCTAATTGCTAAATGAAGAGTACAGTGTATAGGTATGGTGACGGTTATCTATACACCGGAGTCTAGCATGACCGTGGGTCTTAATTGTGTTTGAACCGGACTTTGTGAAACATCTTTCTTGTTTGATTGCTAAGTTTCCTATAATGTGAAAGGTTGAGGAGGAATTGCAATTGGTATATCATTGGATCGTTGTCTCAAACTAGAATTTGATAATTGAGAAAGAAGTGACTAAAAGAGAAAGTGTTGTGACTTTTCCCTTGCCAGGACACGTAGTCTATTATTGTTGTTGCTCCCTTGCCGGGATATTTGGGCTGTTAGTTGTACCCTTGCCGGGTTAAACTGTTACGTTGTTGAATTTCCCCCTAATGGGGCCTCCTTTAGAAAGATTATATGTATATATATTATGAAATGGGATCGTGTGGCACGCCGACCACTTATATATATATATATATATATAATATATATATATATATATATATATATGTATATATATATATGTGTATATATATATATATATATATTATGAAATAGGATCGTGTGACACGCCGACCACTTATATATTACGAAATGGGATCGTGTGGCACGCCGACCACTTATATATATATTATGAAATGGGATCGTGTGGCACGCCGACCGCTTATATATTATGAAATGGGATCGTGTGGCACGCCGTCCACTTATGAATTAAGAAATGGGATCGTGTGGCGCGCCGACCACTTATATATGAGCTATGGTATTGAGATAGTTTCGTCGTTATATCCGTTGATCTGTATTCGCTGTATTTTCCCCGAGCATGCCCTCTTCCCCTTTTTAGTTGATGTTCTCTGTTGTTATTTCTGTTTCCTTTGTATTTATATATCTGCACAGGTTGTTTTTGGTAGGTCCTGTCTAGCCTCGTCACTACTTCGCCGGGGTTAGGCCAGGCACTTACCAGCACATGGGGTCGGTTGTGCTGATGCTACACTTCTGTGCTTTTTTGCACAGATCATCGTACCGGAGCAGGAGCTTTTGGACAGGAGTAGGAGCGTTGGGAGCTTACTTCAGTCCGGACATTTTCGAGGTAGCCTTGCTGGCGTCCGCATGGCCCAGAGTCTCTCTTATCTATGTCTTTCGTTTGATTTCCCTTGTATCGGATCAGACAGTACTGTATTCTTATTCAGACTTTGTATTTAGCATTCAGTAGAAGTTCGTGAGTTAGTGACACCAGATCTGGGTAGAGGTGTATTTGAATTTCCGCACTTGGGTTCAGTTATTTATGTTTCGAGACTTCCGCTTTTATATTAATTGCCTCGTTCTTCTTTATACTGTTAATGATGTTGAGAGAAGTGTTAAATTAATTGGCTTGCCTAGCTCCTATTAGTAGGCGCCATCACGACTCCCGAGGGTGGGAAATCCGGGTCGTGACAACATATATTGATAACCATTGGAGCAAGCACTAATGGAGCGGAGCCGCTCCCTGCATCTATTATGCACAATCATCAACCACACATTAATTCCACCTTATTTTGCATATCTAAGAACTGTAAATTCTCTTTTTCCTGGGAGACAGGAGAATAAAATGTGAGATATAGGTATCTAAGAACTGTAAATTCTATTGTATTGTATCGTATTGCTATTTCAAATATAATTTTGATTTTGACAATTACTTAAAAGTTATTATATCGTATTGTTAAATTTGTTGTTATATATCAACGAAAAGTGTCACTTTATGTAACGACCGATTCGATGTAATCGCGTTGTTACCTTGTATTTAATTTTTTCTCATCTTATCCTTTTTTTATTATTAAATATAGGCAAGAACTCCTGAAAATGAAAAACACTATAGGAAAAAGAAAAAATAAAACAAAATATGAAGTCAACAACTTGTCTTAACTATGGAATAATACTTGAATCTAGAAGAATCAATTATGCAAAATTCATAATCACCTAAATCCAAGGTCAACACTGTACATGGGATGCACTACCCCCAAATATTAATTAAATAATCAAACTAGAAAGACTCATTCCTTTTAACAACCAACCAAGTCATAAAATCAAAAATCTTTGCTGGCAAAAATCTTCTTCTTGTTCAATAAATAATTAAACTTCCATAGCTAAATTAAAATCCCTTCTTCATATACAGAAACCACAAGTAAAGTAGACATAAAAGATTAGACAAAACATAGAGAATTGCCAAAACACAATGGCCACGCTTATCTGAAATGTTCATTTGCTTTTTGATCATATCCTCCATTTAGTTCTCCCTATATCTTTTGAACCCTCCAGAAAAATATAGCTTTATAACAAAATTTTGAAACAAAACTAAAGAGTTTATTTCAAACTACAAAGTAACATCTAGTTTCTTGAACATGTCTAAGCCACTAAGAAGCTTGATCAAAGTCATTGTTCTTGGTGATTGTGGGTAAGAATTTTCATTACCCTTTATTTATTTTATTTATAAAGATGTTCTCTTTTCTTTGGTTTCCCTCTCTTTTTTTATTATTTCAAGCTATGTTGCTGGACTCTTCAAAAATGACGTCAGATGCGTGTTGGATCCTTAAAAAGTAGTGCATTTTTGGAGGATCTGACGCTGTTACAGTAGCAGTTTTGAAGAGTCCGAGCAACACAGACTTCCATTTGCTAATTTTCTTGAAAGTACTACATGGTTTTTGTTCTTATTCCTATGTGCTAACTGCTAACACTTTGATATGATTTGCATTCTCAGGGTGGGAAAGACATCTTTGGTGAATCAGTATCCAACAACATTGGATAAACTTTTTATTTAATGTTGTTTAGAGGCGGAGCCAAGATTTTTTAAATCGGACGATAATTCATTTATATGATGATTTTTTTTTCCTACAAATATTTGTTAAGGATTTGGCTGATAAGGGAAGAGAGGATTTTCTCAAAGTAAGTTTTAGAGATAAAAAATACAATGGACTAAGGTTCTGATCAAGGATTTTTGCAAATTTGTGTTTCATTAACTGCAATTATAGATATGTTTTCAAGAAATTTAGACAACAATACAAGGCGACAATTGGAGCTGATTTTGCTACTAAAGAACTAGAGATTGATGAAAGAGTAGTCACCTTGCAAGTAAGTGATTACTGCACCAGAAGAAACATTGAACATTTTTTTTCAATCCACCTGCACGTCTTGTTTTTACTGTTATATCGGGAATAACTTCACATATTGCTTGACGTAAAACGAATAGTAAATTTGTCTCTGTCTTTTGTTTTTTGGCAGATATGGGACACAGCAGGACAGGAAAGGTTTCATAGCCTTGGTGTTGCATTTTATAGAGGAGCAGATTGCTGCATTCTTGTTTATGATGTGAATGTGCCTAAGTCATTTGAGACTCTTCAACATTGGCATGAAGAATTCATCAAACAGGTGAGTCAATTAATTATCATGAACGTTTTTTCAGGTTGATAATAGGCAATTTTTTACCTATCGGTCACGGGGTCAAGCCATGGAAGCAGTCACTAATGCTTGCATTAGAGTAAGCTGTCTATATCACATTCCTTTAGAGTACAATCCCTTCTCCGGACTCTGCGTGAACGCGGAATACTTTGAGCACCGAATTGTGATCTTTTTAATAGGCATTTTTTACATGGTTTGAAATAGTTAATTACTTTCTTTGTATGTGATTGATTTCAGGCTGACTTAACAGAGCCAGAAAAATTCCCCTTTGTCTTGATTGGTAATAAAGTAGACTTGGAAGGTGGCAGCATTGAGACAGTAAGTTTTTTCTTCTCGTCTCATTTTTGTCTAACACATTTTCTTCCCATTATATATGTTTTTGCTTGGAGCATAACTTCTATATACATTAAAAAGGATAGTTCGGTGCACAAAACATCACATACTCATGTAGGTTTCGGGGCAGGCCACAGCCCAAAGCGTGTGATGTTGATTGTCTACTCTAATGCAAGCATTAGTACCTGCTTCCACGGCTGACGGCTCGAATTCGTGACCTATAGGTCACACAGAGACAATTTTACTGTTGCTCCAAGACTCCCCTTCAACTTCTACATACACTGAAAGCGTTAAAAAAATGTACACTAGCAGGTCATCTAAAACATAATTAAAGATAACTACCTATATTAAGTGGAACTGATTATCTAGAAAATAAATTAGGTAACCTGCTATAAAAGATTAATTTACAGTAATATTATAATATTGTAAGATTTTGCTTAAAGAATACTATTATTTATAGGTTTCTGAGAAGAAAGCCAAGGAATGGTGTGATTCAAGGGGAAATATACATTACTTTATGACCTCAGCAAAGGAGGATTACAATGTGGATGCTGCATTCTTGTGTGCTGCACAACTTGCCCTTGCTAATGAAGATGATCACAACATGTAAGTAAAAATTATTAGTGCTTATTATAATTTTATTATTTTTAAGCATTCATCAAGTTAACATTTAATTCGTTTGAATGAGCTAATCTAGTCCATTTCTCTACTATTTAATTCGCGATAAATATAGACAGGCGTTCATTTCTCTACTATTTGAAACAAGAAATATATATTTAGAAATTGTGTATAAGATATTATTATAAATCTCAATTCTTTATAATTATAGAAATTAAAGCTCGTTTGTCTTAGTACTACCCCATTGTCTTTGCCACATCTTGTAAAGTTGTTATTTCCTCAGCAGCAAGTCAAATTGCTTCATCTTAGTACATTAAGAGGTTTTTTCTCTTTATCAAGCAAATTGTGAAATGCTAAACAAAATATAGTATAAGCACTAAAATCAGAGCTAATTAAGTGATTATTAGAGGACTAATTCTTAGTTTAGGAAGACTCCTTCCTCTTCACCCCTCTTTATCCTCCTTGCTCGTTATCGTCATTATTATTGTTATTGTTATTGCTATTCATGTGGCTGTTTTTTTGTGTGTGTGGGTTATTTGGACATTTTTCTTGTTAAGTTACTGATTTATATCCTCTCTTCTTCTTTTTTCCAATGATATTATCGAACCCTTTATTTACTCCAGATGGCAGCCAGTAGTAGATGAAGAAATGCCTTCACATTGGTGAGTATATCAAATAATATTGCAATGTAAATTAAGCTAGAAAATTAAAGTTTTTTTAATCTGTCCTCGTAATAAATTATAATTAATTTGTGGAATTATGTGATTCTTTTTCTCATAAAATTGCAATTTTTTTTGTTAATATTAAACATCGCAATAGTAGGACTACTTTCCTACAATTAAACAAGAAAACTTTCGGTTCTCTTTGTTTGAATAAACGTCGCTTATTTTAATTTATATTAAAACTTTTAATATTTTGCAGCCAACTCCAGAGAATACCAGAGTCTGTATCAGGAATTGAGCAGCAGAGAGGAGGGTGTGCATGCTAAATCTTCAAAATACAAATGTCACAAAGACATAACATCCTAATTAATTTGTTTGTTCTTCTATTCTTTATTGTTTTTAGATATTTGGTACGTTCATAGTTTTCTGAAACTGTATTATTTCTACTTCCATATTTTACTTTCTTTGATGGAAAAAAAGTAAACTTTTCTAGATAAATTTGGCATACCTTTTTCATTTTTTTTTGGTCACCACCCAAGTTCGTCCTCAGTGAACTGTCGTGACGGCACCTAGTCTCTACGACTAGGTAAGTCTAACAAATTGTGGAAAAAGGAAACGAAATACGAAACTACCAAGAACTGCGGTTAAAACATAAATAAAACGTTTAAGATGCCGCTCGACATATACAAAATGCACACTTTCAAAACTGAATCAACTCCCAAAATCCGGAATCTCATGAAATCACAAGCTGTAGGTACTACATAGTGCTCTAACCCCAGAATGTCAAATCAAAAGAAAGTACAGAAGGTCTATAGCTAAAAGGAAAAATAGAGAGGGACTCCTCGGTCTGCGAACGCAACAGATATACCTCGAAGTCTCTGAAGATCGCCTCGCCTCACTGATAGTATGGCTGAGCCGAAGAACTTGGATCTGCACACGAAAAACATGTGCAGGAAAGGGCATGAGTACACCACAGCGGTACCCAGTAAGTGCCAAGCCTAACCTCGGTCAGGGCCCTACTGGTTATATATATATCACAAGATAAAGCAGTATAATATGCGACAAGATAATTAAAAGAATAACAGATGATAACGAAATAGAATCACAGGAAGAATGTAACTCAGCACACAGAGATAGCTGTTTACTGTGAAAATGGTAACTACAATTAAATTTATTAAATGGGACTCTAAAAATATGTGATCTATTCCCGAGCTAGCTTGTTAAAGCAGATGATGCTAGTACTGTGAGTTCTAACGATGGGGCGAAAGATAAACGAGGTAACGAGCGAACCAAAGGGCATGTGACCCGGGCGTAGACTTGATCGATTTGGTACTTCGAGGTCGACCTCGGGGTCGAGCTCGGGTTGCCGGGGATATTCGGGCGTAATCTAACAGCTAGGAATATAATCAAACGGAGCTATTTATAATCAAAATTGAGTTTATACGATGAAGAACACATAAAAAATGAAGAGCACGTTTAAAGGCAAAGGGTATCGAGGTACCCTCAGTATCAGCGATAACCAATGAGCTTTTGTAAGAATAGAGAGAGAGAGAGATATTATTGCACTTTGTAGAATTGTGGGAGCTACAACAGTTGTTTACAAGGAAGGGTGAGTCCCCTTTATATAGGAGAGGAGACTTAGTAACGAATACATATATATCTAATATACAAAATACGGAGATGTGATGCTTGACTTGATATCCCAGCAGAGGCTAGGGATAGGCCGGCCCTGTCAGATTCAACTGTGTGCCTCGAGGAACTCCTTTCTTTATCCCAATCTCAACTTCGAATTAGGTCTTGATAGATCCCGACGGAAAGGACTGAGCTGCGACTTTATACCCTCGGGGTCTTTGAGATGTCTAACCGAGGTGGCGTCATATCCTCGAGGTCTCGAGGTACCTTCCCGAGATGGCTTGATGGCGGGAAATCGAGCCCCCTGATTTCACCGCGTACAGATAGTCTCCGCGTTTCTCAGAACGAAGCGATGGGAAACGGTTATGACCATTGACTCCCCGAACTCCCCGTGGCGATAGTGCATTTGGCGATCCGTGTCGTGGCCCAATCTTCTGTGATAGATGACGTATCTCATAGACTCCTGCTCAATACTCTGCCACTTCCGTTCTTCAAGGAACAAAGTGCTGCCATCGATTTGGTTTTTCAAGGATGCAATAATTGCATTCGTCGGTCAGTTATCCAGAGTCCCGGTGGCCGTGTAGCTGCCCCCTATAAATGGGGTACCTTGGAGTTATTTTTCCTATTCCAGTGTCTTCATCGGCATGCTTTGCCTATTCCTTCTTGCCACCTTCTTCTATCTTTGAACTTCATGTTTGGGGCTTATAGCCTCAAGACGGTTTCCTTTAGTCGTGCTATGGCCCTTTGCTAGGACGTTCCTGTGTTGAGCACCATCGCGTTATCCCGCTATGGCCGTTGGCCTGTTGGTGTTTGCTGCTACCTCGGATTATACACCGCTGCTCACCTCCGTACCCCAGCTCGACGTGGAACTCTGCCTCGAGCCGAGAGCTTGCATGGCTCAATGCTCGAAGAAGTGTATTTGAAATAGCCGTGCATGTGGGACCGGGGGTTGTTCGGTCCGCTTTCTCTCCGAGGCTCCCTTTGCCAAAGAGGGTCCTCGAGCTTCGGAGAGCTATTGCGTTTTTTCATCCCTCCCTGCTCCTTCAACCATCTTTTTCGTCTTCTTCTCTGAAGTGCTGCTTTGAGGGACTGGGGTGAGGTTGTTGGAGGCGTGCATTAGAGGGTAGAATAAGTTTTAGGCCCTTTCTTCATGTATTCCCCTTTTTCATCTGTGTAGGGAACCCTTTGTAAGCCTCTGTAATTGTATGTATCGACCCCTCGGGGGCTGTTGTACGCCAATTTTGAATGATAATATCCTTTGCTGACTTCTGCTTTCCTTACTTTGTTTTGTTTTTGTATGCTCTCATGCCCTTCGAGGCTCTTTGAATGCCTTCTCTTATTTGTTGTCCGCTGATATCTGTCTTGAGCGCGAGCGTTCACTCTGATCTTCTGCTGATCGGCATGGTCCTCCTCCGACCCATCGTCATACTTCAGACCCATCTTGGATTAATCTGGTAGGCCCGGGATATCGAGGTCCTTCGAGTTGTTCGAGGATCATGCGTCGAATTCCGGGGCCTTCGGGAACGTCATCCCGAATGAAGGCCATCTTCGAGTACCCGGGGGTCCCTATTGATATTGATGTAGATAACTTTTTCTAGAATGCATAGGATTGACTTTTGCTGAGGAGTTTGCTTGTATTTGGGCGATTCCTCAGGCCTTCGTGGAGCTTTCGCGGTCGGAGCTTCCTGTGCTTATTCCTCTTTTCAGGAAGGGGGAATCACGAGACCAAGTGATTGTCTGGTGTCAAGTATCGGCGTTTAAAGCCCACCGAGGCCCGACTTCTTTGAGCCAGGGGTTCTTGGCGTAGGATGCTTCCTCGATCATGGAGATAATTCGGACGGCCCTTCGAGTTTCAACTTTTCGCTGGAGGATGCTTTTTGGATCGGGTACCGACCCGTCGATTCGTGCCGAGGCTATTGGCTTCCTGGGGTTTGCCTCGGGCAGGTGAATCGTCGCTGCTTCTTGTATATATGTGGGGCGGCTTCAGCTCCTTGGCAAGATTTCACTACTTTTAGATAGCCGCCTTTCTGCTTTGGCACGGGTTACTTCATTTCCTTAGGCGCAAAAAAGTGTCGGCGCGTGCCCTTGCTTTGCTCTGTTTAGTATTACCATAGTCATGGCAACCACTTTGGGCAGAGGGCGGAGGGTGTTGTTCCCGGCGCCCGAGAGCTGAGGGATTTCGTTCAGACGACAGTTTCTTTGATAAAAGGGGAGCATTTGGAGATGGTGAGAAGATACTGTGGATGGAGCGAGGGGGTAACGCTGCAGGTGCTTCCTTCGGGAGAGAACGTTACGGATTCCACTGACGGATTTTTAAATGTATACCTGTATCCTTTCGCGTTTGGCCCCCTCGATAGGGTCGTGCTTGATTTTTGTTTGAAGTATCAGGTTACTTTGGCGCAGATATTTTGGCGGGTGGTGTTGATGATGAGATTCTTCGCGGAGAAGGCCGGCCACGAATTTACGCTCGATCATCTCATCCGGCTGTACCTGCCCTTTCATCACCAGGGCTTGTTAATCCTGAAGTGTCGTTCATCCCCGTCTTTTGCTGTTGATGACAAAGAGGAGGGGGTTCGAGAATGGGCCGGTTGGTTCATCCGGGCCCGGACGACCGACATCATCCCCCCGGAGCTTTTGGAATTACGCACGTGAGTGGACCGTTATGGTGCTCATTTTGGTTGTACCTATAGCGGAAGTTAGTTAAATAACGGTGTTTTTACCTTGTTGTAGCAATTTCATGGACGCCAGGCAAAGTCTCTGATCTGCCCGGCTGGGTTCGGAGGCTGGTGACCCATTCGTCCTGTGACGAGCATCGGCGGCGAGCTGTGCTCTGTGTTAGGTGGGGAGCGAAATACCAAGGTATGTGCGCGTGCTACCTTTGCCTCGACCTTCATGCATTTGAGGCAATATTTTCCCCTTTTCTACTTACATTGGATCTGTCGCTTGCAGGTGTCGGGCAGTTCTTCGGGATGAAGCAGTGTTCTTCTGAAGGGGGGAAGGAGTTGTTAATCTCTCTTCCCGCCCTTCGAGGCGATGGAGCTTCTAGTGGTGTCGACCAAGCCAGCGGCTTCAGGGGGACGGCATTGTCTGAGTCCGCGTCCCCGGGGTACCTGATTCCAGGTCATCGATGTCTTCATGCGGATATATTTTGTCCGAGGCCGGTTCTCCCGGGGGCGAAGGGACCGGATCAACAGGAGTATGCTCCGACTTTGAGGAAGTCCGCCGGCTTCACTTCGTGGTGAGTTTAGGCGCGGTCTTCCCAGTATTCCACGTCCATCGTTTGTCATTGAGTTTTTCTTATGCAGGCCTGTGACAGGCTGATATCTGAGCTGGTCCGTCAAGGGGCCAAGTTTCAGAAAGTTCGGGATGAGGGAGAATCTCTTAGGCTGCTTAGCGAGGAGAAGGAGGGTGAGTTGCTGCATTGGCGATGCGAATCGTACAGGCACTCGAATTACGAGAGTTATCTGATGGAGCAGGTAACTTCATTTAGCTCAAGCTTCACTTTCTTCGGTTATTATTAGGTTAACGCCCTGCTTTGTTATATCAGCTGCAGAAAAAGTCGGAGGCCATGGAGTACCTTAAGGGTGATATCGATCGTGTCAGAAAGGCTTGCGGTGAGCTTAGGGTTCAGGTGCAAACTCAAGTTTTAGAGGAGGCGAGTGCCTTGGCCAAGGTTCCTTCCTTAGAAGTCCAAATGTGCTTGGCTCGAGATAATGCCAAAACCCAAGCAGATGTGATTGAGAAACTGGAATCCGAGCTTTCGAAGACCAGGACCGAGGTAATTGATGCCCGGGCTAGGGCGATGCAAAGCCGAGCTAACGCTGATCGAGAGATGGCGGTCCGTATGGAGGATGCTGCGGATGCTCA